ATGGCATCTCAGACATACTCAATGCTGAACTCATAATCTCAACTCCAAAGCCTTATGTACTTTCCCTTCTTTTGTATTTCATCTTGGTTAATGCCATAATCTTCCTTCCAGTTTGGCTGTAAATTTCCAGTGCATCTTTATTTACTTATTCTTCTTCATTGATCTTATCTGGTTAGTTTTCTTTTGGGGAACCAACTCCTCCTCCATTCATAGTGCAAAGGTTAGCGTGAGCCATCCATCCCCTACCCTCTCCTTTGAGGCTGGCCATGTGACCCACAGCTAATCATCATCTTCCATTCCTTGGATGCAGGGATTGATTCAGGGATAGATATAGGACCCAAGTTGGGCCAACTGTTCTTCTGGACCTTGAACACTGTGAAGCCTGAACTGAATACTTGTGACATTAAATTCATCTTGGCAACAGTCCATGAGGAGACTGTCCCTTTGTTCCTGCTCCCTAAATGCCCAAAGCTGCTCTGATTACCAACTTTCCTGAAACCTGGATGTTCAGCTATTCCTTTGATATTATAAGCTACCCCATATTCTTCCAATAAATTCTGCCTCCTCATACTCCAAATTTTTTGCTAGCCAGAGTTAGCTGCTTACAACCAAGGAATGCTGATACAGCCTGTGATTTCTTTTCTTCCATTAGGTCCCTTTAATTTGTCCCCTCTTTTCCACTCTCACTGGCCGATTGATTACTATTTGCTGAAACCTTTTCAATAATCTTCTAGCATGTAGTCACTCTATTACTGTAAGAGTTATTTTTCTAAAGCACAGCAAACGGTAACATTTCTCCTCAAAAACCTTCAGAGTCAAAATAAGCGTGTATTGTGGATGGAGAGGACCCAGGCAAACGAAAAAGCATATGCAAAGTCCTAGAGGCAAAAATGTACAGGTATTTTAGAGGAACAGCAAGCGGTCAGGGTGGCTGGACCACAGAGAGAGTGATGAAGAAAGACAGAAAGAGGTACACAAGGCCAGGTCACTCAGGCCCATGTAAGCTATGCTAAAGATTCTGCAGTTTTTCAGAATCAAAAGGGACCTATTGAAGGATTAAAACAAAAAAGATAATCCATCTGTTTGGAAAACAGAAAGAAAACTGAAAGGAGAGAAACCACATGAGATAGTTATGACCTATGTCAAAAACAGGTATTTATTCATTAATTCATTCACTCACTCACTCATTCTTTCTTCATCTAATACTTTTTTTTGAGCCTTTTATGTGCCTGTGCTAAGCTCTAGAGCTAGGAAGGATAATCCCTGACCTCATGGAGCCTACAGTCTTTTGCAGGGAGACAGACTTATTAATTAAATAGAAATGACAAGACATGGTGATTGATGAGATATGGGAAGTAAAAGAAAAGGTGAATCAAGGATAACATCTAATTCTGCTTTGGGGAACTAAGTGGATTTGCTGAGATGGAAATTAAAGGTAGAGTAGGTTCAGTTGAGGGATATATATTGAATGAATCTTGGACATTCGTTCATTCAATAGATATTTCTCATATGATGAAGCTAAAGGTAGGTATTTATGAGATATGTTCAATGAGCTCTGTATATAGAGATCAGGAACTGAAGTAAAGGACCTCAACAGGGAATGGTCATGATTTCCTCTTCCACCACAAAAATGTACAAATGCTTATATCAAAAGTGAATAGGGGCTGGGCATGATGGCTCACAGCTATAATGCCAGAACTTTGGGAGGCCGAGGTGGGCAGATCACCTGAGGTCAGGACTTCAAGCCAAGCCTGGCCAACATGATAAAACCTTGTCTCTACTAAAAATACAAAAATTAGCTAGCTGTAGTCACATGTGCCTATAATCCCAGCTACTCAGGAAGCTGAGGCAGGAGAATCACTTGAACCTGGGAGGTGGAGGTTGCAGCGAGCCAGCACTGCAGCCTGAGCAAGAGAGAGAGACTCCATCTTAAAAAAAAAAAAAAAAAAGTGAATAGGTATATTCTCATTCAATAAGTAATTACTTAGTACCAACTACACAAACACAGTGAACAAAATAGGCTAAGTCTAGCCTCAAAGAGTTTACATTCCAGGAATTCATGGCAGAAATCTGCAGTTCCACATACGTACTCAACATGCCTTCCAGGGCTCTTTGCTGCCAGAGGTTGCACCCTCACTGCTTGACCATATCATGCTTCTAGCAGGTAAACTGTTATAACTGGGCTTGCTATTCCAGAAAGGAAATTTTGTTAATCATGAGGACAGAAATCAGGACACTTCACTTCTGATTCCTAGATCTTTTCCTTAGTCTTGGTGTCCTTGAGCTGAACGCTGTGCTTAATATCAGACAGAGCATGACACAAGACTGACATTCCAGGAGTCATTGTTTAAATATGGGTACAGACCTACATCCCTCACAAGTAAAACCTTTCTGAAAAGTTTTATTAGATAATATAAAAAATTTTCCCCATATTTCTGTTCTTACTTAAGCATTCAGGTAAAGTTTCAGAAAGTTTCAGAAACTGCAGAATTCTCGAATTTTGAGCCAACATCCTGCAGTTATGGAATATTATATAAAAGGACTTAAGAGGCTGTAAATGAACGTGCCTCCTGCTTTACCCCCAGAAACCCAGAGATGTGATACAATTTTGATCTGACAAAACAAATACTGTAATATTTTGGGCTTTTCCAATAATTATAGAAGCACAGACTTGTAAAAGAACACACGTCACAGAAACTGAGGTTAAAGGACACAAATGTAGGTACAAAAGGGAAAACAATGTAGAAACATGGTGCTATTGTTTGAATATTTGTCTCCTCCTATGCTCATCTTGTAACTCCTCATTGGAAAAGTATTAAGAGGTAGGACCTTTATGAAGTAACTAGGACATGAGAGCAGAGCCCTCACGTATAATACATATAAAGCATTTAGTTCAAAGTATGATCCTTAGTAAGTGTTCAATAAATATCACACTCACAATTTTATATACTCACACAGATATATTCATGTATCTATACAACTTTGATGCAGCAAGAAGACCCTCACCTGCCTGTACACCCTGTACTTCACAGCCTCCAGAACTGTGAGCTAAGTAAACCTCCATTCTTTATATATTACCCAGTTACGCCAACAGAAAACATAACAAAGACATATGGGCTGCCTAGCCCTTAAAATTTTTAGGGTATAAGTCCCATAGGGTCTACCTATAAGGATAAAAGATGTTGGATTAAGTGTCAAGAGAAAAATCACATCTTATGAACTAGAAAATAAGAGATTTGGTAAACAGCCAGGAGCCATGCTCTCTCTTCAGTGAGAAGACAGCTGCTCCCCAGTTCCTGAGAGGTAGGGTAGAAAATGTTTTACACAATCTTTTTTTTTTTTGCCAATCAGTTTGAGCTTTATGAGGTTGCTCAGGTTAGCCTTGAACTGATGACCTCGCCTTCGTGAGCGCCATGACCTCCGTCGGTAGCCACTTTGGACCCCTGTTTTACACAATCTTTGCCATGCTTCAGGCTTCAATCAATGTGTTCCCAAGGAGTCCACATCTCAGCTACTTATAAAAAGTAAACATTCTGGGCTAGGACCTTTAGCCCCTAAAACAAGACAGTGCAACTCCAGATGTGGTATCGGGACAGCTGCTCTGCCTTTGCACATAAAACAAGGAGAAATAAACCTGGCACAAAGAGGACAGACAGTAGTTAGGGATTACTGTGTTGCAGCCCTGGCTTGGGTTATAGATATATGGTGTACATGGGTTGAATGGTGGAGTAATTTGAGTTATGGGAGTCTACTACTCAACAGTAAATAATAATAAGAAAATATCTTCATGTAGTCTCTTACCCCAGGCTCCAGGAGTTGGTTCTCCCAAGTGACAAGCCCTGCCCATAGGTATTCATCTATGGTTTCCATGACCCTTAGGTGTGGCCTGGGGTTTCCAATGGCCCAGGTGAGTGTACAGATATTTTTTCAGGCACAACTTTCTATAAAAGTCTGGGTAGTTCTCTACATTCACAAAGATATATTCACGTATCTATACAAGTTTGGGGAACACTCCAGATAGTAACTCTGCTTTCCAGACAGAAAGAAGATCAAGGCTCCTGGGCCCACACAGGCAAGGTTCATCCTCATAAATGTCATTTCAACAGCACTGCAGATATTGCAGAGAAATGCCAGGTCAGGAGGCTGCAATCTGAGAATACCCACCCTCTCCTATCCAACCAAAGATAGGCAAGGCTGGAGCTAGTGAACAGAGAAAGAGGCATAGGGTACTAGTACTGTAAAGGACGGCAAATAGAAGAGGCTAAGGTAGAGCAACGATTTCCTGGAGGGACATTTTGACATTTTCTTCTGCAAGGGATTCTGCCACTCGCCCTAACATTCTTCCTCCATCCTTGCCAGAAGAACTAGCTGAAACTGAACCTCAATCTCATATACTGGTTTTTCCTTCCTGCCTTCCTATATCCACATTTTCTTGGTTGTTGTCCACTTCCACCAACCTCCTGAAGCTACCTTTTCAGATTCTCAGTCAGCCTGGTAGCAAGAGGAGTGTCTTCCCTTTGGGGCATTCTAAATGGCTAGTTTGGCTCTTAACATCTAATTTGCATGTCTGATTCTGTGCTGACATAGTCAACACAAACATGAATGCCTCATCTGATTACACTTGCTCTCTTCTCTCATTTTGTCTCAAGTAGAAAGTCACATGTTCAATAATCTGGTTTTACTTAAAATTATACCTATTTTAGACAGTAAGGAAATTTTCTTTCTTAAGTCCTAGTTATTTCACCCTGTAGGAGTTACTCACAAATTTATACATTTTCACAATAATTTGCACAACATTAAACTTCTGAAAACTGACGTTGCTTGACAGTATGGGAATGAAAAGTGTTAAATGAGAAAGAATATGTAAATGACATATTTACAATTTAAAAACTGACAGTACATAAAATCAAAGTAAGTGGTCTATTTATCAAAAAAAGAGCCTAATATTGAACTGATTTTCTAAATGAGAACTAGTCTGATCCTGTTACATGAAAACCTACCTCTCACCATTAGGTCCAACCCTGTTGATTAATTTTTCCATGGCTGCTTCTGTCTCCTTCAGCTTTTCTTGCAGTTGAGCAAGCTCAAAACTGGCTGAAAAATAAGCCACAGTCTAAGAACCATCACAGATACTCCCTAAGCCTGTTAAAGAGACCACACATTTTTTTTAAAAACTATTGTACTGTTGTACTTCCCATTCTCATTTAAGAATACAGCAGTTTTATTAAAAGATTCTGTGAATATTTAAGGTTTCCAAAAAGGATGCAAAGTGTGCCTGGGATATTTAGCTCCATAGAAAATCCAGAAGTAAGGCCGGGCATGGTGGTTCATGCCTGTCATCCCAGCACTTTGGGAGGCCTAGATGGGTGGATCACGAGGTCAGAAGATCGAGAGTATCCTAGCCAACATGGTGAAACCCCGTGTCTACCAAAATACAAAAAATTAGCCGGGCATGGTGGTGCACACCTATAGTCCCAGCTACTCAAAAGGCTGAGGCAGGGGAATCACTTGAGCCCAGGAGGCGGACATTGCAGTGAGCCGAGATCATACCATTGCACTCTAGCCTGGCAACAGAGTAAGACTCTGTCTCAAAAAAGAAAAGAAAAGAAAATCCAGAAGGAAATCCAAAAAGCAGTCAAAAAGCAGTTACGACCCAGAGAGACATGACTTCCTGCAATGCTTTTGCCAAGTCTCTTCATTGTGGGTGGTAAATTTTTCATAGGTTATTTTTCCTGACATTCTATTCTAGTCTATACATTCTTTGAGGAAAGGGCCATGTTATATAAATTTAATTTTCCCAGAGAACACAGAATATTCTAGTTGTGTAATAAGTAACTGATGGCCATGTTTCAAGAGTCAGAAGTGTTATATTCTTTCCCTAGATCTAAAAACTGATTTTGGCAATGACAGGATTTCTCTGCCTCAGTTTTCCTCTCTGCTACCAATATTTTGAAGTCTGGAAATGAGAATTCATTCCAAACATGAAATATTAATTTGCTATTATATAAAAAAGTGAACTGGTAGTTTTGTACTTTTTGTAGCTATCCTTTCCTTAAAACCCCAACATCAATATAAAAACTTCTGAGAATTCCCAGAACTAAGGCAAAAATGGCATCAGATTAATTTGGAGCAACTTTGAGAAATGCTCTTAAGACATACCCACAGACTGTCCCTGTGGCTATAACTGTTTGACTCAATGATACCTGTGAATATGCTGAGAAGGGGCACTTACTAATTTTCCTGTGGGTGTTTCCAGGCTTGGCAGTGGAACATTTCCCATCCTCTGCAGTTGTTTTCCCCTTTGAGAGCTGAGAATTGAAGGAGGTATAGCACATCAACAGCAGCTCAGAACCTCAAAGTCACGGAACCCCTCATATCAAATAAAAAAAAAAAGAGGTTGGGAGACAAAAATGAAGTCAGAAATGAAATCACATGGCAACATTAGAGAAATATCTCAAAAAAAAAAAAAAAAAAAAAAAAAAAAAGCACCAGAAGATGAGAAGGTTTCCAAGTAAAAAATTATCAAGGCACAAGGAAAAAATTCTCTCTACAGGTCATCTTCCTTGCTCATGTTCATCCAAAAGGGATGTGTGGCATCCTAGGGGCATTCTTACAGACTTAACTCAGACTGCCTGCAGAATTCCTGGGCAAGAAAGTACTCATCTTACTTAAGATTGCTCTAGGCTGGGTGCAGTGGCTCATGCCTGTAATCCCAGCACTTTGGAAGGCCAAGGCAGGTGGATTATGAGGTCAGGAGATTGAGAGCATCCTGGCCAACATGGTGAAATCCTGTCTCTACTAAAAATACAAAAGAAAATTAGCTAGGCATGGTGGTGCACACCTATAATCCTGGCTGCTCGGGAGGCTGAGACAGGAGAATTGCTTAAACCCGACAGGTGGAGGTTGCAGTGAGCCAAGATTACGCCACTGCACTCGAGACTCTGTCTCAAGAAAAAAAAAAAAAGAAAAAGAAAAAGATTACTCCAGACAGGAGAGCAAAGTGAAGCTTCTGCCTCTACTTCACAGTGCATGGGCCTGTGGACTGCAAAAGCCTGCCTGGAGGCAGAACTTAACTGAGGGTTTGCTTTAAAGAACCCACACTGATGTCTCCCGAGAGCTAGGAAATATCAGGCTTAATTTCAGGATGGACAGTTGTGTCTCAGGAGAAATATTGGAGATAATATTAAAAACAACATCTTATGTTCCTGTGGAGAAAAAAGGAGGACAAAGTGGTGTCATTATTTGGCCTTACAGTGGCTATCTGGATATCACTGTGCCAATCCCAATAATAAAATTCTTCTTAGAAAAAATATATATACTTTTTCTTGAGACGGAGTCTCGGTCTGTCACCAGGCTTGGAGTGCAGGTGGCGCGATCTCGGCTCACTGCAACCTCTGCCTCCTGTGTTCAACCATTTCTTCTGCCTCAGCCTCCCGATTAGTTGGGACTACAGGCGCGTGCCACCACACCTGGCTAATTTTTGTATTTTTTTAGTACAGACAGGGTGTCACCATATTGGTCAGGCTGGTCTCAAACTCCTGACATTGTGATTCGCCTGCTTTGGCCTCCCAAAGTGCTTGGATTACAGGCTTGAGTCACTTAGAAAATCTTTATTCCTTTTCAGCTTGTAAAGATGTTCAATTTTTATGGGGGTAGGGTGGGGAGGGCTTTGAATTACATCACTCACTGGATTAAGAACCAGAAGATCCAGGTTCAAGTCCTAGTTCTGACATTTTAGTTGTAAATTTTGGGGCAAAACACTTAAACACTGAGTAAAGATTTATTATGTGAAACTGAAATAATTGCTATCCTAAGTACCTCACAAAGAGGAGTCAGGATTTAAAGAAATGACGAATTTGAAATAATTTTATGAACTGTAAAATGTTTCAATGTAGACAATGATTTTTATTGCCATAATACTAGATTTTCATTGATGTAATATGATTCTACTTACCTTAAATAGAATGTACAGTATATATAAAAAAATCCCAAAGCCGTAGATTGGAATAATCTGCCCCATCAGGCCTCTTCCACTACCTCCTCCTCCAGCACCTCCACCTGATCCTTTGGCTTTTGCAAATGCCTCTGCAAGATGAGACCTCTGGAAACGAGCCCCAGGAGTCTGGCCATCTGAGGGTGCCTGGTGATGATGCATCATAGGTGGAAATCGACCCAACTTTCCTGAGAAGATAATAATCAGTTTTTATCTCTTCTACTATTTTAAAGATGGCTATCATGAAAACACCAAAGCATTAAGGTATAAATAACAGAGGCCAACTCAAATAAGTTTAAGAAAAAAAAGGGGAACTTAATTAAAAAGATATAGAGGTATCACACAGATACTAAATATGATGTGATCATCTCTAGCTGTTCACCAAACCCATTTTCTCTTCCTTCTGTGTCCTGAGCTAGACCACATTTTTCAGACTCCCATACAGTTAAATGTGGCCATGTAAATGCGTTCCAGTCAAGGAATGTGAGTAATTGTGCTAGCTCAAGACCTGGTCTATAAAACCTTGTTATTCAATTCCATGATCATTTCTCTACTGCAGTATGGATGCTGACACCCAGGGGGACCTTAGAAGCCATGGGTAGAAAACAGCAAAGCCTCCATCAACCTGAACTCCTAAATAACTATGTAGTGCAGAGCCCTCCACTGCTGCCGCCTCACTAACTTAAGAGTCATCTGGACCTGTTTATATGAGTGAGAAATCAACTTCTATTGTGTTAGGGTCTTATACACTTTGTCTATTTGTTATAGCGGTTAGCCACCCCTAAATAACATAGATCAGAAAATGCAATGTGGTCTCAGGAGAAAAGAGAATACAGGAAAGCCATCTGGATCCAGGACAGGTACTTTCACATTCTAACTCATCGCTCTCTCTCTATGGGGCCATAAGGTGTTTTGTTTTTCTGTGCACATCTTTATTCTCCTTTCTCTGCAGACCATTTCTCTAGCTTCTTTGTGCACACAGGGGAAGATGGTCAACCCCACCCCCTGATTTGCACATTCTTCAAGAGGCTAGCTGAGACATCCAAATTTCAAATTCCTTGGAGAACAACTTTAAGTACTCAGCTTGGGTAGGTATACATCTCTTTCCAATCAGCTATACCTGAGCAGACAGGATTCATGTAGCACAAGCAGGGTGAAAAAGGGGCTCAACCTTGTGAGTGGAAGAGCAGGGCTTGGGCCAGTGGGCAGTGGTGGGGAGAGGCAGAAGCAGGGGGAGGTACTTTATTTATTTGCTTGCAGTTTTTTTTTCTTCCATCAAGAGCAGTCAAAAGTTAACACCAACTGCCAGAAAGGAATCTTCAAATGACCACATAAACAGGCTTGCATGAAAAACCACTGGGAAATAACATGAAAGAACAGAAAACACTAGAGAGCGTAAATAACACTCTAAAAATATGAATAAAAAATTGCTGAATTTGACTTGAACAAAATTGACAAAGACGTGGAGAGGCATGAATGCTCATGTACTGTGGGTAAGAGTGTAACTGACACAGATATTCTGCCTAGTGATCTGGCTGTACTTAGTGATATTACATATGTACACACCCTATGATCCAATGATCCCACTCTGGTGAATAAATCCCACAGAAAATCTCAAATAAGGTTATATATACATGTGAATTACAGACTTTATAGACCTATGTGAGAATGTTTGCTGTGAAATATTGTAGCAGGAAGTTTGAAGTAACTGATTTCCTTTGAAAGGATGAAAAATCAAAATGGAGTGAATATAAATACGGAATTCTACATAGCTTTGGAAATCACACTTGAGATATACCTACAGCAACATGAATACGTCTTTAAAAGCATAGTATTAGGTTAAGAATAAGCAAGTACCATTATATAGGTTGAAAACAAACACATAATGACATATTTTTCAAGCAACTATGTAGGTATACAAACGTAAACACATTAGAGTAAGTGCATATGAGCAGGAAAGGGAACTGGAATGTGGGTTAAGCACAAAGGTCTAAAAGTAAAAGAATAAAACGAGAAAGTAAACTTCTACTGACAAAATTAATAAAATGCTATCAACTGAGAACTGTCTTTAAGTTGTTGATGAAGAGTCAAACTCTAAAACATATCAAGAGATTTCTTCTGAGCCAAATGAGTGACCATGGCCCATGACACAGCCCTCAGAACATCTGCCCAAGGAGGTCAGGGTACAGATTGTTTTCCCACATTTTAGAGAGACATGAGACCTCAATCAAATATACTGGTTTGGTTCAGAAAGGCAGGATAATTTGAAGAGGCAGGGGTGTGCTTCCAGCCTATAGGTAGATTTTAAAATTTTCTGGTTGACAATTGGTTGAATTTATCTAAAGACCTGGGATCAATAGAAAGGAAATGTTTAGGTTAAGATAAAGGGTTGTGGAGACCAGGTTTTCCTAGCTTTACTGTGCAGAGGAAGCTCTCAGATAGCAGACTTCTGAGGGAGTAGGTTGTAAAACGTTTCTTATGTGAACGGAAAATATCATGGGCCCCTTCAAGGTGGGCAACTGCTCACAGCAAATCTGCCTCCCATTTCTATTCAAAGTCATCCTTCTGCTCACTGAGACAGATGCATATCTGATTGACTCCTTTGGAAAGGCTAATCAGAAATTCAAAAGAAGGCAACCATTCCTCTCTCACCTATCTGTGACCTGGAAACCCCTTTACCACTTTGAGTCTTTCTGTCTTTGCTCCAAGTTGTCCCGCATTTCCAGACCAAACCAATGTACTTCTTACACATATTGATTCATGTCTCATGTCTCCCTAAATGCACAAAACCAAGCTGTGCCCTGACCATCTTCGGCACATGCCGTCTTCCTGAGGAGTTCCTGAGGCTGTGCCATGGGCATGCGTCTTGAACCTCAGCAAAATAAATTTTCTAAATTAACTGAGATCTATCTCAAATTTGGGGGGTTTATACTTATCAGACTTCAAAGAGTGACTTAGTTGATTTTCTCCTGGGTCTGGAAAGAAAGAAAAAAAAAGCGGGTGGAAAGGAGATTCTCTAGAATGTGGATCTTTCCCACAATAGACAACCTTGCAGGGCAATTTCAAGACATGGCAAGGGAACATATTTGGGGTTAAAATATTTTCATTTCTTTCCTTATTTTTTATGTGAAGTTATGCCACAGTCAGGTGGGAAAGCAGGCTAGATTATATGGGGTTAAATAAAACCCCTCTGATGAGATTTCACAGTTTGTAGGGTATGACTCCTCAGGCTTGTTAGGTAGGAATTTGGGTAAGATTTAAACAATTAGAATTTAGTTCTCAAAGTCAACTCTGCTCCTGAGGTAAGAAATAAGGTAGGTGGGCAGGCAGGCTTGGAAGTTGCCTTCCACCTTGCATCCTTTCTCAGCCGAGCTCCACTCCAATGATACTCCTTTTCCTCTCAATATTGACTTTGGATGACATGGAAATATATGAAAAGAAATGCATCTTTTTAAGAGTGGGTCAGCAACAGAAGCACAGTTTTAGATGGTAAAAGAAAGAAATCACCATGTCACCATCCTTTATTCTGGATGCTGGTGACTACGTCCCTTTAAAATTTTCAGGGATCTTAGTATATTAAATGATGAATACTGGCTTTAGCCATTATGCACCTTCAAAAATATGCCTAGCCAGCATTCAGGAAACTAACTTTTCTCTTGAGAGAATCTGATATATCAGATTCTCTGATGTATCAGGTGGCTAATGTTCAACAAACTAGATCTAATTAATATGTGTAGTAATATGTTGTGGAACTTCACCTTACTTGTTGAGAATACTATCTTCAAAAGTGGCATCAAACAAAAAGAAATAAAAATAGGTACTTACATAAAAAGCACTAATTTGCATCTCTAAAATTTAAGAATGACATTACACATTCTCCCCAAAAACTTCTATAGATTTGTCATCCATGAAGATTTATAGGATACCAATTATGTTCAAGATTCTGCCATATGCAAGAAAAGAAGACAGCAATAAAGGTAATAGAAACAATAGTTCCCACATGGAACAATGCCTTCAAAAGCAGAATATCTAAAACAAAGACACAAATAGCAGCAGCAGCAGCAGCAGAGTGTCAAGGACCTATTACTAAACTAAATATTCAAGTATTGAAAAGATGCAGTCTTTCTTTTTAAAAAAAAAAAAGAGGAGTCAAATGGAGTCAATCACTGAAGGGAATGAAAGAATAGCAGAGAAGCAAAAGCATACCAGTAGGAAACAAGAGTGTGTACATGAGATAGGGAAAAAGAAACCATGAAGTAGGACTTACTACCAAATTAGTTTGCCTCCATTTAGGGAAGTAACAAGAGATAAGGAGAAAGAAGTAAAGATGGGGAGGAGTTAAAATGCTAATTTGTGTAGTATATAAATTTGATACATTAGACCTTGATGAGAAGGGTACTTGATGGGGATTAATCTAGCAGCTGAGTATAGGGCCTAATACAGAGAGAAACTAGGGTCTGAGAAAACATAAAAAAGGCTATTACAGTAATTTAGCACTGAGATGCAAATCCCTGAGGTGGTGGCTAGAGCTACAAAAAGGAAAGGATAGGTCTGCAAACTAAAAATAAAATTATAAGCCCACCAACTGACTGATGGATCATCTCCTGGCCAAGGGGACCCTAGAGTAACCTTGAAAACTAAATTCTTGACTATGCTGGGATGAGGGGTTCAGATATACCTCATTATACCCTCTCCCTCACAAACCACTATTAGCCTTTCTTCCCTAACAACTAAACAGAAACCAGCCATTTCAAAAAACTCCACCATGGCTGTCAACCAACCACATGATACTGTCCCTCCTTTGATTGCCTGATAAGAGACTACCAACCACAGAATGGTTCTGGTTAGTCTACAGAGAATGCACAATATTTTCATGCCCTCTGCTTCACCTTTTGATGTCAGAGGGGTGAAAACTCCATTCTCTGACCACACTATCACTATTTTGTGTGCATGAGACCCATAAAGGACATGTTTCTCCTTTCATAAATTTTCATGACTCCCCCTATAGCTTATTGAATATGTAGATATGGTCACCTGCTAAGCATGAATTCCTGTTCCTTTTGCCCATCCCTCCAAGTGTGTGTTCTGCTTTTGGCTGGAGGCTACGCTTCCCAGTCTGTCAGAATGGCCACACTGAAGGTTGTAACTCTTTATAAGAAATAAAGTCTCCTCTTCTAAATTTATAAAT